GTTAGACTTGCCAGCTGCAACTTATCAGTTACATCACCACCACTTTGGAAGATATAGATGTCTCAACCACACCATCTTCCATAATACATCTGGCAATTGTACACTTGATTCCCAAGAAAACTTATTTATGGTTTGCAAATTCAGGGTTTCCAAGAACACCAGATTGACCAAAGATGATGGCAACTCTCTTATAAGAGTTTTCTTTATACTTAAGAACCTCAGCTGTGTCGGAGTTCCTATATCTGCTGGCAACTTCACCTCAGGTCCTTTAATTCCTTCAAGATCCAAGACTTTAAGCAATCTGAACTTGAAAACTACAGAATTCATTATGTGTGCAATATCTAATCTGTGTTTTTTTGAACGGAAGAAGAAGAGGGACCTCAGGTTATGATTTTTCTTGTATTGCAGTGGAATAAGATCATCAACATCTTCCCTCAAAAGAATCAAAAGCCTGCGACTCTTTCTAATTGATCTTGTTCCAATGGATGATGGAAGTGCACCAAGGGTCTCATTCCCACACCAGTGGTCAATTATGTCATTGAAACTTTCTTGTCTTGCCTTCGACAAGCAAAGATCATGCGTAAGGTCATGAAGGCGACAAGTTTTAATTGTTCCAGTTGAACCCCTCACTCCCACTTGAACCATACACCTGTTGATCAAACTATGTAGGTAGCCTTCTGCAACATCCTCCATTGTTTCATCTCCCTCTATCTCGTCCTGTGAGAACACAAAGCCTTCTGCCACCCACTGCTGAACTAACTTTTTAGTTGGTATATCAAAATCTTCAGGTAATTGACTCAAATAGCGGAAGCACGGTTTCAATTGGTAAGGCAGTTCATGGTAACTTAAAGCCAATACCTCAGATAATCTTGCTTGTTCATGGGCTTTAGTTTTGGCCAAATATGACCTGATATTTCTGTTCACCATGTCCCACTCAATCAATGTTTCTTTTGTTGCCAAAAGCTTTCCAGGCCCACCATTGGCCAAGGTTAACTTGGCCCGGCTTCCACCCTTTCCCTCCCTCGGTTCTCCTTATCTTCATTGATTTTGAGCTCTACAAGAAGAAAAGGGAAATTTTTAAAAATTTGTTTCATTCACATAAACTCAAAGCATAGAGCATCATCTTTTCCACCAATAATCATTAATTCCCTTAGCATGCATGCTTCAAGAAGGTTAAACAACCAATAGAAGTTTATTTCATCCTATATGACACTGAGATTGACATCACCAGATTCATAAAAGTTAAAACATGTATCTATATAAAACATGCCAACAACACAGAAACTTAATTTTAATTGTCACAGACATGTACTTAACATTCATAATATTGAATTGATAACACATCCAATTTCAACCAATGGCCTAAGTGCAAGATTAGATTAAAGCAGTTTGCTTATTCCAGTTTATGTAGTCAGAAAAAGTAACAAAATTAGATCTGGAGATTGAAGAGCATGTTATATGATTGTCTACCTGAATATCGCCTCTACTTGGAAATGCCTTCCTTTGGAATAACTCCCAACTATTTTCTTCATTCAAACAGTTTGGTTCATAAACAAATCCCTCTCGGTCAGCAATCAAAGCTACTTTTTTGTGGTGTGTTGTAAGCAGTACTTTGCTACCAGAAGTAGTTTCATTTGGAAAAGCAGCACTAAGAGTAGACCATGCCTCAGTGCTCCAAATATCATCGATCACAACCAAACACTTCTTTTCTTTCTGAACTTTAGAAAGCTTCTTTGCCAAATCATCATCTCTCATTCTTAAAATTTCCTCCCTCTCCTCCCTGGATGGAGTGATAAGTTTCAGCAAAATCCCCTCCCAAACGTCTCTTCTTTTGCACTGCTGAAACACATATGCCCAAGCAAACCCTTCAAAATGTCTCCTTATATCACCATGATGGTAAACAGCCTTTGCCGTGGTAGTCTTTCCCAGACCACCTATACCACTGATAGACACAACTCTGCATTTCTCTTCATTCACCAGCTGTGTTATCAGTTGCCTTATATCTTCATCAAACCCACAATATGCTCTTCAACGACATGGGAATAAGACCACCTGAGCTGCCTCTGCCTCTCAAATGCGAAGCTAGTTCCTTCTTCTTTTCTTGTAGTTATTCCATAAGTTTGTAAGCTTCTGATGAGATCAATTATTTGAGATTTAATCTTGTCAATTTTTGAAGCAAGGTTGTGAATTGCTATCCCTTTGGTGATGGGATTATGGATTCTTCTTCCATTTCGAGGTGCAAATTTAAGCACAAAAATGTCAATGCCATCCTCAATGTCATAAGCAGCATCTCTTATCTCTGAAACCCAATTCTGAACACTGGCATCCTCATCTTGCCTCTTGTCAGCATCTTTTAGAAATCACTGTATCCATTTTAGCTCGGCTTGCATCTGTTGGACCTGATCCCGTACACCCCATAAGAGTGTGGTTTCCTCGATCAGGAGGTTACCCAACCTCTCCACAAGAAAGGATACCACAGCATTACCCATGAAATATGCCTTTGCTTCTTGAGTGAAGACAGACAGGTACAAGCTAACAAAATAGCAGAAACCCTCTTATTTTCTGAACAATTAATAAGGAAGCATTCAAATTTCACAAAAATAACAAAAACTCCACGAATTTCACAAAGCCAAAGGAGAAATGTAGGTCATCAATTATCTATCTTTCACAAAGCAAACT